CATCAACTATTTGCTCTTGCTTTGTAAGATTGGTCGGGCATGTTTTGTGCCGTTTATTTTCTCTCTGTCATAATATGGGTCACCAAGGCCAATGGAGAGTTGCTAGATAGTTGCAAGGGGCCTGAACTAGGAAACGCTCTTGGAAGAGTGGCGATACAGCTCAACTTTGTCAGATGAAGTAGAGTTGGAAGGAGAGAAAATAAATGGTTTTCGAGTGCAGTGAGCTTTCAGGCTTTAAGAGTTCCATGGGCAGATAAATTCCTGCGTTAAGAATTTTGGATGAGCTTTAACTTGGAGCCTGATGGCCTAAATACATGGGCTAACAGTGCCTCGAAGCTCGAAGAAGCCCCCCCTCCCCAAAAAAAAAAAAATCATGTACCATAATAGTCATCAGTTTAATTATGCACTGAAAGTTGCTTATAATAGTCATTCTCCGTTTGTTTAATTTACAGCAGATGCAAATCTGTGTGCCTCCAAACCTGCATTGAGATGTCTTTGACATTAAGTAGGAATGTGCAGCTGTCCTTAGGACCAAGGCAAAGATGGGAAAATGAAGAGGATAGATTACACATGCTTTAAGACAATTAAACCAGCAAGCCCATCTTTAACCAGCCAAAATTTGTTCCTAGTTCAAATCAAAACTACCCAACCAAAAACAAATTATTTAAGTGAAACTCAGAACAAATATATACAAAATCTTATCCATCATTTCCCACCTTCTCACACTCAACAATAAAAACTAAAATTATGTTGAGTCACGTTAACCGAAGGCCTTCCAACCCACCTCCCCTATCTCTTCACATAAATGCTTGGCAAACGGAGATAAAATATAACAACAAATTCAATTTCAAATACTAAGCTAAAGTCTCACATGTTTCAAATAAGGTGGGAAAATCAAAAAGAATTAACACAAAATGAAAGAGCACATCACAATCCGCACATTCACATGTTACCTCTGAGGAGAGATCGATCTTGAATAAGAACGAGCAGGCCTTCGAAGAGGGGAGCGGCTTCGCCTATGTATTGGAGACCTTCTGGGTGGACTTCGAGCTCGTCTAGGTGAACTATAAATAAAGAAATTGCTGTCGTCAGAAACCAACTAAAGCATGTGCATGTGTACAAAGTAACTTTTGACATAATCAATAGTAATCACAGTGCCTACAACCACAACTTACATATATGCTTCAACACGTACATATTGGAATAAACAAATACAAGAAAACCTTCAGGATTGGTTGCATGAACGCATTGTGCTCTATCCAAGACACAATCCGACTGCCAGTAAGATGTCATAAACTTTCTGGAAAAAATCCAGCCATCCGGAAGCCATTATATCTAAAATATTGTTATTTCTCTCCTACTTCCTCCGATAGCATATTCACATGTCTTTCTACAATAGTTTATGGCATACAATTTAAGAAATTATGGGAACATACATCATCAAACAGAAATGCTTCTATTTAGTCAGCAGGAATAAATTACCGGCGCCTTGGAGGAAGGGGAGAACGTCGTCTAACTGGACTACCGCGCATCCTTCGGGGAGAGGCCCTACTTAGACAATAATTAGTCCAAAACTATCAAAACCAACTGGGCTACTGAAGAGAATCATGTAGTGGTACACAACCTGGGAGATCTATTCCGCCTGGGTGGAGAGGAGGGTGAACGACCTCTGGCAGGAGATGCAGGCCTCCTTCTGGGAGGTGGTGAATCATGACGTCTATAAGGAGACTGTGCTCGACGACGAACAGGAGAGTCTGCAAGTCGACGAGGAGGAGAATCTGGGTTTCGTCTTGGAGATCCTCTTCGTGCTACAGAAGATCTCCTCTGTGATGGTGAAAGAGGTTTCCTACGGGGAGATGCTGATGAAATGAAAATTTAGAATAAGTTACTAGCAACAGACAGCAAATATATTAACAACACTCGTAACATATAGTAACTAGTCATAACTCGTGCCTAAAGACACGATAGAACATAAAATTCAATCCCCAAAAAATCAATCTCATTATATTAAATAATAATTTTTTTTCCTTCATTTCTTTGATTACATCATTCAAAATTTATTTTTACCCATTATTTTCTTAAAACAATTGACAAAATTTTCTCAAAATACATAATTCGATAAAATTTTCTCAACATATGTATACTATCATGTACGGATAATATCTGAAATAAAAATTATGTTAAACTATAAATTAATCGAATATTAAATAATTGAATATGTGATAGAAATGAATGATGTGATAGTTTTGGAGGGAAAATGTATAGTGGATAAAATTCAATTTCCTATGTATTTTATTATATAGATTATAGGGAGCATACATTCTCTCTGCCGCTTTGGTCCATCTGTTTCAACATCAGCACCATCAGTATCAGATTTAGGAGCATCTCTTCTTGAAGGAGCACTAGTCCTAGGGGGCGATGAAGCCTTCTTCCGCTCAGGTAATGTAAACCTGGTCCGAACAACATTCCCATCAACCTGGGCCTGCACTTGGTAAAGATCATCAATATACTGTGCAAGATATACCACCAAATCAAATCATTGTTCATCCACATCTTCATCAAAGCATACCCCATCCATGTAAAACTGAGCTTTTTCGGCATCACCTCGCGTCTTAAACCCAACATATCCAAATCCTTTCGAGCAATTAGCCTTGAAATAAGAAACCATTTCACATTACTTAAGAAGAATTTAAAAAAAAATAATAATTGATCTGCACTGTAAGAGGAGGTCCTGTTGTAATGACTTACAGTATGATCCATGGCCAACCGCACGTGTACAACTTCACCAAAGGTACCTGCAAATACGTACAATATCACAATCCCCTAAAGCACTTAATCGAGAAAAAACAGCACATATTTCTGACAGACACCAATGACAAGAGAAACAGAAACCCCAACTGGGCATTAGTTAAATCTTGACTTTTGAATATTTGGAGGTTTATTTGAAGCATATATATGAGTTCCTGTTCTGACTGTGATCTAACATCTGCAATTTCCTGCATTAAAATAGCAATTAAAACACATGCCTTTCTTGAGACACAACATGTAACAACAAACCTACAATGCTCAAAGACCCAAACTATTCCTTAGTGAAGCATAAATTTTACATGTCCCTAATTTGATCCATCACCTCACCATATAATTATATAAAAGCACCATTTCTCAAGCCAAGACTGAAAACACTACGATAGACAGCACTACGTAGTTCTAATGGTTGCATTAACTGACTTGAAACAGCTGCAACTCCCACTAACCACTGAAAACCACATGTAAAATTTACAACTTCTGCCAAAAATCACCATTTCCTTCACAGGTGGGACTGATCCATACAAAAGCAGCTGATAATGAAGTGCTTATCTAAGTACAAATTAGAATAAAATTGTAATGAAGACTCAAAAAATACAAATTAGAATAAAATTGACACTTAGACCCAATCTAAGTAGCAGGAAGAAGTGCAGGACCCCAATTTACACAGCCCTAGGATACAAAAGTTTCAGACAAAGCATTCATCCAAAAAAGTTGGAAGGGTGACGAAATATTATATGCAAGAGAGGGTACTAGAGATGAACTGCCTCATAACAACAGCCAACACCAAATGACGTGTCTATTGCCAAACCCCCATTAGTTGAACTGTCAGGTGTTGTTGGTTTTTATGTTTTAGAAAATAAACTTCAATAAAGCAACACCTATTTTTTTAGGGCTACATAAAAGAGAACTGTACAAGAAACCAGAATGCGCCACAACAGATCAGAATAGGAACATACTGAATATTTCTCTCAAATGGTTTTCATTCACGTTCCTGGTGAGCTGATCGACGTGAAGAACAAGAGACTCGGGTATAGGAGAAGCTTTTCTGTAATTAGAGTGAACTAAATAAGCACAACATAATAATGATTATAACGATAAAGCATATGCTTTAAAATCTTCTCAACTTGTAAAAACAGCAGACCAGAATTCAATTACAGCAAAATAAAATAAAATGCTGTCCACTATTGTACAACAACTCCAAGAGCTTCCTGTCTTCAAGAAGTTAGTCTTCTGCCAAAAGAACACATTGTTTAGCAGAAAATTCAGCTAAGTTGACTACTAACCCAAATACTAACACCCAGTTACACTCCAGACAGTAATTTCATACATTTCATGAAAGCAATTTCCCTTCCTCCAAATTGGGAAAGCTAGTATATGCTGGAACTTCTATGAAATTTAGATATCCCAAGGGGATTGCTATTGCCAATCAACCATGGCTTCTACCAAAGCAGCTGATTTAAGGAATCACTTATTCCATAGGCTACCATGTTTGGTCATTGCTTTGATTTTTTTACGGCAATCGAGTCATGTCATCCTATCCAAAAATTATTAATAGTTATTGTATACTGCACACAATTTCCAGAAAAATTAGCCATGAAATAGGGAGTAAGAACACTATCGGTTAGTGGCAGTCCATATGATAACTACTTGATTAAAAAAGTATATTTCAAGTTTGTATTGCTTTAAATTCCCCCAAACCTACTTTTTAAAGTGTATCCCAGAGGGAGGGAACTAAGACAAAATAAAAAGAAGTAATGAAAAATCAAATATAAAATTGGAACCATATTACTTCTTAAAAATCCAAATGCCAAAAGAAAACAGACAATTAAAATCAAAGCTTTTAAGTACTTTCTCGTGAAACAAACAAGTTCAAACATAACTCTACCTTGGAGGAGGAGAAACCTTCTTCGATTGGGGTGGTGGTGTGCGACCTCGTTTAGCTCCTTCAACAGGACTACAAATATCACATTTGATATCAAAGCACAGTGTCAAACTCATGCAGCAATAAAATAAATGGAATGAATCATCATGGAAAGATATGTACCATTTCAATTCAAACACCTAGAAAAATGACAAAATATATTGCCTTTCTAAATAAAAATTAATTACAACATAATTCTTTGGGTTGTAATTCCCTTGTTTTTGGGTGGATCTCTTATCCATCATCTATGTACTTTAAAAAAAAATAACTAAGTTATTCACAACCAGGCCCCTTCTGGCACAGGTCTTACTTAAGCAATATACAAATGCAAGTTTCAGGTCTCAAGGAAAAGAAAGGCTACAAGTAACATGAATGTCTCCCCATCTTCTTATGAGCTTTGATTATTTCCCCAATCACATCAGTCAAGAACAGCAACAAACTTGCCAAAAAATGGCACTCAATAAGGGTGCATTGATGAAGAACAGCATTTCAAGGGCTACTACAAGGAAACAAATTATACACACAATGTGATTCCATTTTAATCCCATTGAGGTAAGGTTTCAACATGTCTCACCATTTCCTGGGGTAAAACATGTGAGTTTGACTGCTATAAATATATGTAAGTTTGCATTTCTCACCGCATATATTCAAAGTAGATTAGTTCATCCTCACCGTTTCGACCTCTGCTTGTAATTTTTGTAAATTCAATAAAGATGACTACACCCCCAGGCGCTATGGAATTTGAGCAAATACATGACAACAAAGTTGAGTAATTCATTTATTGACGAAAAAGAAACCTCCAGGATATTCATACAAGGTGCTGTTTATTTGGCCACACTAGAAGCATATGTTGAGTTCTTTTTGGAGCAATAAATCAAATCCAACCCAAAACAGAAAATTGAAAGTAGAAGTGAGGAACTGGATACGTAAAAGTAAATTCAAAATCCTAGTTCTTAACCTCTTTATGATTGTTGAAGAAAGATGATGAAAAGAAAAAAAAAAAATATATATATATATATAAGGTAATAATAATATGAGATTCTTCATTTAAAAAAAAATGGGTCTCAGTTCTATGTAGAACTAACAAAAACAACTACATTATGTCCTTTCCCTTTTTCTGTTTGTTTGTTTGTTTGTTTTATAGTCCGAGCTGTGGATGGCGGGAGTTGGATCCTGGCGCCCACTCCGGAGAAGACCGCATATACCACTACGGCAAGCCACCAATTTACATCAGGCTCAATTGAATAGTATATTTTCCCCCTACTGACCCCAATTGCATAAATATTCAACTTCTTTCAAATTTATTTTTCTTTGCTTCACAAGTTCTAAGCAAACAACGATGTAACATTAGTGTCAGCATTCAATTAGATGACTCAAAAAATAGCTATACACATATTGCACAGAAAATTTATTCTCGATATTTCCCAACAACTCGGCTTGTATTTTACTCAGTTCGTCATAATTTTCTCAGCGAGAAAACGGCACACTAAAGTACGACAACTCTCAGAACCGAAAGGACGAAAACTAAATTTTAAAAAGAAACTGAAATGGCTGAATACAAGTTGGGACGAACCTTCTTCTCCGGGAATGGGGGCTAGGGCTGCGAGAACTGATCCTGCGGGACGGAGAGGAAGAAGAAGATAAAGATTTAGAGCGGGAGCGCGAGCTAGAGCGAGAGTCCGAACCAGAGTAGGAACGAGATCGGGACCGGGAAAAAGAACGAGAGCGAGAGGATGAGCCTGAACCAGAGCCCGATCGTGCAGCCGGGCGACCTCGGCCTGGTTTCGCCATCGCCAGAAATAGACGACACAAAGTACAGTACAGAGACTGACGAAACCCTTGGATTAAACCCTACTAAGAAACACCGAGAGAGAGAATAACATTGGAGTGGTTCGGCAGAGAAGAGCAAGCCGTGTGATTTGATAGTTTTATAACCTATGGGCCAGGTTATCAGGCTAAAATGGGTCCTTTACATGGGTCGTAAGCTCTTGGGCCAACTTATTATGTCTCTAGTTCCAAGATCCAATCCGTCTTGATTTGAATAAATCAATTGAGTTAACCTTACCTTTAGCAAATTGTATCTATTTTCAACATAATTTCATCATCTCAACTCGACTCAACAATTTTTTTTTATTCCAACTGTGTTGGTCTGGTCGCATCAATCCTAATTTTTCATTGTGGTTGATCAAGAATCATATTTTTTTTGTTAAACCTTAAACTATCATAACTTTTTTAGTATTACTATGTTGTTCCGAAACCAGTACAAACTATTTTGTTCCCGGTCAAGATTCAAATTCCGAGTCGCTATTACTATGAGGAAAATAAAAAGACCACAACTCCTTTCAGCCAGAGTCAAAAATATTAAACCAAAGAGAGACAATGACAATTAGGCCTGTTAATGAGAGGAGACAATATAACATGTTTCAATTCAATGAATTCTGCGCTCAAAAGAAGATTACTGTCAGATTGCCCACATCATGAAACAACTGAATGACAAGACCAGCTCAGTCTGCAGTCCTCGAGTTTACCAATGCTCATTGTACAACATTAGCATCTACTGGATTAACACATATTGCCATCCACATTAAGAAAAGGGTAGGTTCTCCAACCTCAACCGACAAGTTCTAACTCAGTGTGGTTGGCTCTACTGTATCCGAACGTCTTCTCTTGGGCTCATTTTCACCCAGTTGCAATGAAAAGTTAATATCCTCCTCAGAGTCATTTCTCAAGGCTGACAGATTCCCTGATGCCACCCTATTCAATTGGTCATCTCGATGCAGCGGAGAACTCCCATTGAAGCTGGGGATGAACTGATGTTCAACACTTGGACCCAAGTTGACCCCCTCTTCCAAATGGAATGCAGTTTCTACTGGTGATGTGTTCATATCTGGGCCACCTTCTCCATCTTCTAGAGGGATATGCTGGATTTGAAGACCCAGCGGCTCTACCTTGTCCTTTGGAAGCATTACATCCGGTGGAGAAGAATCTCCAACTGTGGAGCCTACCCCTGTTGCTGAAGCGGCTCTTTGTTCTTGCACTGCCACTACATATGCACGCAAATCAGTGGTATCTACAGACTTTATAATTGGACATAAAAAGAAAATGATAGTATGTTGGTCAATGGGTCCATTACGTCTCCTAAAATCCAAGAGTAACTATACATACATATATACACCCAGTTGCTAGCGATGTACCCATGTAAAGTCATGCATGTTCTTTCCATTTATACCCTCGCTATCACAGAGAGGTTCACTTCTTGTCATCCCCATGGCTAGAATAAGCACACGTTGGAATAATTAATTACGACAATGAAATACATTTTTCATGACTGAAAAGGTATTTTTGTATAATTTTGACTCTTAAAGAAACTCTCTCCATGCGAGCATGGGCGTAGGTTAACAGAAATACAAATTATTGGCCACTGTTTTATTCTAAGCTTCTGCTTAATCTTCTTCAAGTACATCTCCATAAAGTAGCAAAGAAGTATTGAAGTATCGGGAAGTTAGCAACAAAAAATATAGGTAGAACTGTAAACCTTTTAGTGCTTCACTTGTTGTGATGAGATCAAGTTCAAGGAGATTGAGCAGGCGACCAAGATCAACCCCACTGGTCCAGTTCTCTGGAGGTTGGCCAACTTTTAATTTAAGTCGGCCTCGATTGGCAGTTCCACCCCATATGATACCAATCGGTCTAGGCTTTTCCCCATTATAGCCCTTTAATATGATGAGACTTCCGCTGTCTCCTTCAAGGTCAAACGACTGTTGGTTCTCACCAACAACAAGGTAATCGGTCAAGAAGCATATCCCCTTCTCATCATTGTACTCAAGTGCATAAGCCAATATAGTCCCCATAGTCAGGCCGGAACTTCTTCCGACTTTTGTCACTTGCTTCCCAATAAGACTATTGATTGGAGATTGTAAGTCTATGATTTTAACGTCTCCTATTTCCCCTATGCCTTTCACAGATGTAGTTACAGTGGACATGTCAAAATCATCAGCAAAAGGGATAAATGCCCCGTCTGCTCTCACAAATGTCTCTGCACAAGCACCAAAGTTTGTTAGGTACATGTGGACAACAAACCATAATCAGAATCTCAGTAAAATGAACTTAATTTGCAAGGTGGTCAAATTTTAAAATCAAGAGAATCTGTCTCTCAATATATGTTAAAATTGCATAGAACATATAGGACGTCCAAGAAGTAAATCTGACAGAAAATGCATCGGGGCAGGTTGACACTAATAGGCCTATGAAAGGTAATCCTGATCGACATCTTTTTTTTCTCATCAGCTCAATTATCTACCTAATAGATCCTTGCGTCAGACATCAAAATTGAAGTTTGATCCAAACACAGCTATAGAATTAGGAAAAAGAATCCAACCATGGCTGAGACAGAAATACCATGCGAGACTTTTACATAGGCATTGTACTAATGTGGGTCAACAAGTAATAGAACCGAGCACATTTGATCATGCAAGCATTTTTAAAACCAAGGTTTCAGATAATGAAAACCTTTTGTAAAATTATGGTAGCACTACTATACATAATCCGTAGTCGGCTCAGATAGGAATATGCCTGTGACCCTCCCATAGGAATAGAATAGGGATTGCAGTAGAAATAAAGATAAATTTTGTGACGATATATTAGATTCTCGAGCTATCAACCATCATGTCTTTCCTCTATATTTTAGGTCTTTCCCACCAGTGAAATGAAATTAAACAGTAAATAATTTCATTTGGATCGTCATAATGCACCAGCAGGCCATTAGAATTAAGCCACATAAGCAAAATACATACATATGCGCACAGCCACACACATACACATATGTAAACATGAATTACTAATTTCTCTTCCATAAGCTTAATCGCTAAACCTCGTATAATAGTTTTTGAGTAGTGGGACCAAGCAATCATGTAGCAAATGCACCGAGGATTTTTGCCATTTTTACTTTAAGGTGTTGGATTTAAACAAACAAAACAGACATAAGTAGGGTTTAAATAAACAGTTGAGCAAATAAACAGACATAAGTAGAGTTTAGATTAACAGGGGTAAAGCTCTAATGGCCCCGTAGCTTGGTCCTATGGCGCTAGCGTCCCAGACTCAGATTTTAAGACAACCAATTTCAGTTGGAATTCTGAAAGTTCCAAACGTGTAGAAGTATCACATATTTCAGCAATCAGACTATAACAAATTACAGAGAAAACTTCGGCAGCTTGGCTAAAAGTAAAGTAATGATGACAGCATTTGTTAGCAATCATCTAACCTGGGTTTATGCCAGCGAAAATGCCATACCAAAGCTCATCTGTGATAAATGATGTAGCTCTTTCCACTGCACCAAGATACACCCCAGGTCCAAGTGTTGGTGGCAAAGGATGAAACATCTTTTGATTTGGGTAATCTAAGTTAACTGCAACATGCCGGTTTGTGAGGAAACCAACTTGTCGATTGCCTGTTTGGCTCCTCACAATCGCACCCAAGGTTCCATAGGTCTCTTGACTTGCTACCTGAAGATACGCGTTGCTGATAAGATAATGGAAAGCAAAACTTACACAATCTAAACAAAGTAGCTCAAGACAGAGAAAAAGCAATGAAAAGTGAAATCCCGAAAAAAAAAACACAGGTATTGATGACTTACTTCTCAATTAAAAAAGTAACTAGTTTAGCTGGATTCCTTGGTGCATCGACGATAAAAGACAAAATGGGGAGAAATTTTTTACAGCTATCGACACAAATTCTAGAATGCCCTCAAGAGTTTCTCAGGGTACACCAAATTCAACTATACTAACCCAAGTAAAGGTAGGAATGTTGAACAAAAAGTTGTTTCCAACGATATAATAGCACACATACAGAACCGGAAGTACGACTGGCAAGTATGGACATGTATATACATATTCTTATATTCGTTTGTAGGCATAGAATTAGGTATATCCAATTGTCAAAATATATTTATGATGACCTCTCTCCCTTCTGGATCCTACTTCTTTAATAAAACCTTACTCCATTTTTCCCTCTTTTCTTATGGTTGAACTTTTTGACAAACTTTGCATGTATACTTGATCAGAATGTTACTGAATTTTTTTCCATTGAGAGTATCCTTGTTTCTTAACCATAGGCATCCGCACCAAATTTTGACATTTTGAAGCTAATCTTATGAATGGCAAAAAGGAGTCAATGCGAAAATTCTCACAAGTTCCTGATTCAAGCATGAAGTTAGAGGTCATCGCAACTGTTTCCTAAAATGCCGACACTACTTTTTTTTATGCCGAGACTAATTTAAAGATATATGACTCCCTAGAAATAAAAACAAAAAACTCAGTCAGGGCTGGAGTTTGTTGGGCAACAATTAAAACTTGATGCAGCACATATCACCAGCAGTTCAACTATATGGTGACTTCTCAGATCAAGAGATGAAAACAAGCACATCCCCTGAAAAAAGCGAAAAATATAAGATCCCAAGAAAATTCAACAATACCTGAGATCCCGAACCAATACATGGGTCAGTCCCACGTAGGTCGTCAACAATCTCTGTATACAATTGCTCCTTGGGTGTTGGCTCGGGTGCACCAAAATATGAAAATTCCACCACATCCACATCACACCATACACCACCTGGTCCCTGGAACGTAAAAACCATTTCAAATTCCAAGCAGAACACAAGAAGAATCATATGGATAAAGCATTCGGGGTACCCCCTCTAGAGAGGGGGGGGAAAACAAAAAATGAGAAAATGAAGCAAGCCTCTAGCATTTTAATGTTTATTATCCACCAGTACATAGGTTCCCAACAAAGAAAATGATAAAGAAAAAATTAGGACATGAGGAGAAATGAACATCCTTTCCTAACCTCCAGAGTAGTGGGCAGACACTGGATGGGACTGAGCCACTGCTTGTGAACTTTCCTCGAAACAAACACTAGAATAGCTGGTATGTCTGTCAAAACACCACGCCGAATACGAAACCCAATAGCCGTGCCAAGACTGTAACAACGCAAGATCTTGCTACGAAAGGCACGTATGGTCATGAGCTCAAGCAAGGTGGTTGCTTGCTGACCTTTTGGCAACTGACCTAGAGTTTCAGGTAAAACACCCTTTTGTAGGTTAACAAAATAGTTTGCCCTTTCTTCAGCAGCATCATTCAATCGGCTGGATGTAGGCCATGAGAAGTAAGCAGCATTACTCTCTGAGTGCTGTCCAGCAGATGCATAAGGCTGAAGTGGTGTCGGTGGACTTAATGAAGGCAGATTAGAATGACTACAACAGTTTTTTTCAAGATCCAAAGCCGATTCCTCTGATGGCGCTGAACTAGAGCAAAATACTCTTGTATTCCACTTTCGCCGGTCCATCTTTCAGTTTACTAAGGATATAGTAATGTCAAACATAATAATCCAGGAGTCCAAAAACAAACAGACTATCTACAAAGCACACATTGATAATTATTATACAACTATTCACCTTCATTCTGTCCTAATCTCCTCTATCTGCTTTTGGAAAATTAACCATCACATTAGAAAAAGGAAAACTCATACATATAACCCTATTTGTGAAATAGATGAACTCTGCCTTAAAGTGCTCCTATATTTAAGATATAACACAAAGGTCTGGAATTAAGTTACATAGAGAATTAGCGTGAAAAATTTGAAGAATGTCAACCTATTAGAAAAAATAAAATCAAAAAACAACAGAAAAGGAAAGATGAACAGTGTGACAAACAGCTACCATATCTGTATCACTTGAATTTAAACCAAAAGCGCATGAAAAGCAAAGAAATTTAGCGTTATCTTCGATTGCTAAGCATTCAAGGGTACAATTATCATGTTAATGACTAGTTAAGAGGACAGGCGAAACAAGTAGAGTAATTTTCATCAGATAGTTTAAGGTAAACTTCAGCGTGGGTACCGAAAAGAAACATAAGAATATAGCACAATCTTCAGAAAACATGACTAATGATTGCACATACAGAACAGCCCAAGACAGAAAAAAAGAAAAATCAAAACAAGGAAAACAAAGAACAGCCCAGTCTGCACAGTAATCAAAATCATATTTTTGAACAAACCCTGAAACAAAAATCGAAAAGTCATCTAATTTTTAGATTTCTCAAGTAATAAGACCAGAAGTAGCCATGCACATAGAGTATGAGGAAATCAGAAGAGATAACTCACTGATCAACAATGGCAAAAGAATACCCTCCTTTGAAGCGTTTTAATGCCCCAACGGAACTTATCTCATATCCCTAATCTATCGAAATTCAGCTTGAAATGTTGCAGAGATTGCCGACCGACGCCGTAAAAAAAGACCCAATACTCTCCGTAAATGAGGAAAGAGGCTTTTCACTTTTCAGTGTCACGCAGAGAGAGAGAGAGAGAGAGAGTGAGTTAGTGGGGGAGTTACTGTGCTGAGTGTGGGCTCAGGGTTGTAACGATGAGGTCTCAATGTTGGACGTACTGATTTGTCGTATTTGACCTCAAATTTGATACTGGATTTTGTCCCATCTGTTAAACTAAAGTACAAACTAGTAGAAGAGCATTATATTGTTTGTGGGACATTTACGAAAATTATTTGAATTTCGCTTTTGAAGATGGTTGACCATGTTGTCAAGGGGATGTTTGGTAATAACAACTTTAATTCTTAAAGTATAGTTATTTTATTAATTTAATGTTTATTGTATTAATTTTATCAATTTAGTTCTTAAAATTTTAATTTATAATACTTTTATTTTTAATTAGACAATTCATTAAATTTTTTAACGAAAGTGATCACGTGTCATGCTTTTAAATGGTATCAAATGACCAGCACGTGATTATTTCTTCAAATTTTAACGATATGTTCGTATATAGACTATTTAAATATAAATTGAATACTCTAATAATCAAATTAATAAAATTAATATTTTAAATACTAAACTGACAAAATATACATTATTTAAGAAATAAAAAATACTATTAACTCTAAGCTTGATCTTATAACACCATTCAACATTCCTTAATAACAAAATAGAGAGATACCTATCCAAAAACAAAATAGAGGGTTTTCAAATTTTAGCCTTAAACCAAGAAACAAATTCTTTGTATCCCGACAAAGATGATCGTGTGTCTTATTCCTGTTTTTTCACATATACATACATATAAATATATATCTATGAAAAATATATATATATATGGTGGGACTCTAAGTAACTCTACGGTCCCCAGGTTGATACGTGGAATAATGAAGTCGTTGAGATATCTAAAAGGTGCCGAGGACGTATGCCGAGGTATGGTGACACGGAACAGTCGAGTACGACAGCTAGCATCGTATTTAATGCGATGTGACCCTCATTCATGGCAAATGAGTGATAGTGACAAGACAAATAAATGTGCGCCTGCAAGCACCTGCCCTCTGGGAGTCTAAGTCTACTGTCATGATGACTAAGTATTAATGGTTGATGCGCCGAGACAACGCGATCGGCTCTCCCGAAGAACTGTTATCCCTGAGTATTCAATGCTCAGTTGATGTCGGAGGCCGATCTAGGGGATTTGGGTACTTGGGGAGTGGCATAAATACTCGGCATTTGGCCGAGCATTTACCCCATTTTCCCTAGCATTCAATAGAAGGAGACGTGAGTAGAAAACACTCATTACACGAAGAATGGTGTGTCAAATGTAAGATGTCCAGATGAGACTAGAGATCTTTGGCAATCATTGTTAATTCAAGTATAAATACTCCTTAGAAAAATGGACAAAAGTACGCAAACTTGAATCAGAAAAATAGTCCATTGAGCAAAACCATTCGACCTTATACTGACTTAAGCTTCGAAGGGGATTAGTCGGGCGCTCGCCTGACCCCCTTTTTTCTAATCCTGTTGTTTCAGGTTCCCCAACTGGGAGATCGTTGTTTCATACTATTGTAGGAATTATCTCGTGCATATATATAATGATAAAATATATATTTTTATCTTTTTAATTTTTCATCATACTTGATGGAGTGTATAAGTGAGAGGCATGAAGTGAAAGAGCTTAATGAACTTTTAAGAGTGATGGATGAGGTGTGTGCTTGCGAATGGAGTATAACAGTCGGCAAACACCCAAGAAAACAAGTAGTTCGAGCCAGACTAGTCCACTATAAAGATTTTTGTTCCTCGTATTACTTAGGAAAGAAAAAGGCTTCACCAAGAGAATGTAATTATATACCCTTTTGACAGAACAAAGGTCTGCCTATTTATACGGTAGAATACTGTAATTATCAAGTAATGATGATATAATCTTCTAACTTGTAAGAATATTTGCTGTTAAAAATTCATTTCCCCAAGTATGTCATACTATTCTAGAAGTTTTAATGTAACATTCTAAAAATAATGACTTCTTACCCAATGTAAGATTTAGTAGTATAACGTGGAATTCATTTTTTGTCCTTTTTCTACCTTTCGTTAAACTATTTCAATATCTAGTGGTGTGCATGGACTAGACTTTGAGTAGGAGTAAGCTACCCGCAACATAACCAACACTCACTAGATGTCTTGTTGAGCGGGCCTTTTTATATTTTAAATTAAAAGTAGAGTCAAAATTAACAAAAAATAAATAATAAATAATTTTATTTAAGTGAAATTATTTAGTATTTAAGTAAATAATAAATAATGAATAATACCTTGGTATTTAAGTAAATAACTTTTGTTGAGAAAGAGAAATATGTCATCCAATCTTCAATGGTCAATTTTTTTTTCAAATAAAGTGGGTGGACGGGAGCGGGCTGGGCTATACGCCAGTTATTAAGTCAAGATTTAATGGGTTTGTACGGGTTGGCTAATGGGTTGAGTTTCACGATGGGTAATGGGCTTAGGACCAGGCCAAACCCTCTCTTAAAGAATATTTAGCTTGGTATCGGACGGGTTAACTACCAGCCCAATTAGGTTTCGGACAAGGTAACAAGTTCCGTGAGCCAACTTGAACCATGAATATCCCTATCAATATTTGCCAAGCTATTTTAATGACTATTGAGCTGACTCATGTCTTGACTGACCGAAATCCTGATTTTTCAGGCCAGCCCGACTTCAATCAGGTCAGCCAATTTATTCACTGCGTCATTTACTCGTTTGCACAACATATTTACGCTTGGTATCATCACAACGTACTAAACACAAAAAAATCTATTCATCTTATTTTTCATTTCTTCTACCAAATACTAAGGAGAGAGAAATAATCCCTCCCTTGAGGTATCACTCTCATTGTCCATCCACCTACCAAACACAGAGGGTTTTAAAAATCCTCCTAAATTGCCTAAATATAAAAGAGTGTGTCAGCAATGTTTGAATTGTTTGGATAAGGTTTGCAAAAAAATAGCTGCAATTTGTTTCAAGATTTTGGCATTGCTTGTCTTCACAGCAAGTGGTTACCTCGAAAACTGATGTAACACGTATAGTAAAAAATTACATTGCAGGTTATATTTTGATTCTCTCAGCTTTTGAAGATGCAGTCACAAATCTAACAAGAATCAATCAGCCTTCTCAGTAGCTTTTTACAACAACTAGCTAGAAAAAAAAAATCGAGTAGAATCAGAGCAAATAAAGGTCAGCCAATTCCTCCAAAGAATCAGAAGTGAGATTGGGATCGGCATTATCAAGCATCCACAGGAAGTGGTCAAACAGTACTACCTCACACTTCACTGATAGGTCTCCGCCTGACTTTTGCTTGGATTTTTCAATAAGAGCATTCAATAAAGGATGGTTCAAGTACTTGGAACTAATCGCGTACTGCTTTCTTGAGCTCCCAACCAATATTGTTTCGCAACGCTCACCCTCTTGCATGGAAGAACCACTCCATACTTCTTCTTCTTCAGTGCAATTGGACCTTAGGCTACTGTATGATGGTGTCCTACTCCTACCCAGTTGCCTTGACAATGTCTTGCACTTCCTTAGTATCAAATTGATCTTCTTCATATCCTAGTTTGTCTGTGTGTGTACTGTGTGCATTTGAGAGGGTGAGTTGTGTGTGAGACTGATGTGAGGGATAGAGAGGGGGAGATGAGAGAGAGAGAAGCTTAGAAGGAATGCAGAAAGGAGGGTGACGTAGAAGCCTTGATATACACTCACATTCAGATAGTGTAAATGGAGCTGAGAGGTGGGTGCAAGGTCATTGTTTTCCGGTGCCTGGAGTGTGTGACCCCACTTGCAACCGATCATTAATTTCAAAATGACTTGAACATGCTAACTTCTTCTATGGGCACGCACAAACAGATCATACAATCTCTATTCATGTATCGACGTTAATAATATACAGATACATAGTCCCATTTTACGTACTATTGAATTAAAATGATTACGAGTGCAATGAACATTGTAGTAGGACTGGACTTTCGTATCAAATCGGTATCA